TCTCCGCGCCCCCGGGCGTGGGCTTCGTCGACTTCAGCGACGACCTCGACATGGACGACGACGATGACGAGCTGATCGACGAGGACGCCCTCCTCACAGTCGCAGACCTCTCTCGTCCCCTCAACATCCGTACGTTTCACACCTTTCAGCAACAAGAACAATATTGTGCAGGAAGTTCTTGACTAACATATTCTCACACAGCCCCCGAATGCGCCCCCAAGGCCGGAAAACGCCGCCGCGCCTGCAAAGACTGCACCTGCGGCCTGGCAGAGCGCATCGCCGCCGAAGACGCCGCGACCCGCGCCGCCGCCGACGCAGCCCTCGCCTCAGCAGCAGCGGCTGCCGCCGCCGCACCCGTCAAGCTCGACACGGACGACCTCGCCGAGGTCGACTTCACCGTCCAGGGCAAGGTCGGCTCCTGCGGCAACTGCGCCCTCGGCGACGCCTTCCGCTGCGACGGCTGCCCGTACATCGGCCTGCCCCCCTTCAAGCCCGGCGAGGAGGTGCGCATCCTCAACAACGATATCCAACTGTAATGCGAAGCTTTCTCTTTATCACGACATTTGTTTTATTGGGAGTGGCATATCACGGGGAGTTTCAATCATTTTTGGCACAAATCGGATACTGGGCACGCGAAGCCTCTGGTACATACATACCTTTACAGCAGCTTGTGCATACATGCATTTTCTGGATTGGGGGGAAAGGGGAATTCGGCGGGGGAACATCACGGCAGGCGGCAAACGCCAGATTGGGCGCTTCTCATTAGAAAAAAATTGTCTTGAGGTGTTTGAGGCGTATGAAAAACACGGGGCAGCGATATATATAGGAGGACACTGAATGGATCAATCACACCGCCACCCACCAGCTTGGGAATGGGCAAAGAAAGCAAAGGCATCTGTGGGCCGTAACCAAACGATAAAAATAGCATTTCGCTAGAGACAACATTTTGCTCTATACTTGATGATACACATACAACTCCGTCCCGTGCTGAATAAATCCGAGTAGTAGTAGTGGTGGTGGTCGTAGTCGTAGTAAGTAATCTGGGGCTCCCTTTTGTTTTTGTGATCCGCTAAACTTCCCATGCATTGATCCGAAGAGCCTTAATAGTAGTTCAACCAACCCGAGCCGTTCATTGCCTTCCCAGGCTATCCGGTTCTTACCTCGAGCGGCTACCGTTGGCTGCCCCCGATGGCTTCTTCTCCTGGGGCTCGTCGTCGCTGTCCCCTCCGACGCTGTACCGATCCTTGTCCATCTCGTGGGTCGGGGTCGTCACATGCAGGTCGTCCAACTCGCTCTCGTCAAAGTCGCCTACCTCCACGTCCCGGCCGCCACGCCTGTCACGGAAACCCTCCAGGCCCCGCGTGCCGCCTCTCTGGCTCGTTGCCGGTGGGCCGCCCATGAGACCCTGGTAGCCCCTGCGCTTGCGACGCTCGCGCCAGATGTACCAGCCCCAGGCGCTGGCGGCAATGACGACGATGACCAAGACGATCTCGCCTGAGCGGTAGTATGCCTTCCACTTGGCCTCGTCTAGCTTCTTCTGCGTCTCTTCATCGGTGTTGGTGCTGTTGCCGATGCCGCCGACTGATGTGGCTGGGCCAGTCTCACCGTCCAGTCGAGAGTCGGTGGGTGTTCCGCCAACGGAGCTGATGTCGACCTTCATGAAGCGGTCAAGCATATCGCGAGAGCGGCGGGCGTAGTCGAAGGGAACCATATGGGAGGAGTTGTAGAACAGGATGTAGGTGAGGTTGCGCGCCTCCTGCCAGAATCCCGCAGGCTCGCCTTCAACAGTCCAATCACGGCGCGGCGCCCAGTTTCCAGGGGAAATCTCGAATCCCTTTCCGCCGTTCCATTCCATGTCGCCAATCATCTGCTCAGTTCCCATGTGGTTGCAAATAAGATCCTCGGCACCGGAGAAGAGGATGACGGGGACCTCCTTCAAGAGGTCCGGTAAGAAATCTCTCGAAGGCTTTGAATTCTTGGCTCTGAAGGCAGCGCCAACCGCGCCGTTGCACTCCTTCCAGCCGGTGTTCTTCTGAGGGTTGATGTGGAGTGCGCTGACGACGTCGGCTCTTCTGAGGTAGGGAGTAACGTTGACCAAGTCGGGAGGCCAGTTCATACCGCACGAAGGGTACGTGTCCTTGAGGCGGATGTCGTACATATTGATGCAGTCGCGCTGGCCCTTGGCGTTCACCTTGGCCGTCTCGGCGAGCAAGTCCTGCAAGACGGTTTCGCACTCGGAAAAGTCGACAGTGTTCTCGACGGCAAGCGATGTTCGGCAGATGCGCCATTGCTGCTCAAGCTTCAGAGCGACGGGCGAGCCCTTCTCAATGAGCTTCCTCTCGTAGGCATACTTGAGGTAGGCATCGTACTGCTCCTTGGGAGAAATCCAAGCGTTTCCGAGCAGGAGACCCTGCAAGTTCCAGATGGTCTTTGTTCCGGGCTTCTTGTTCCTCTCGAGCATCGCCTTCGCGATGTAAGGAATGTGCTGGCCAGCGTAGGATTCACCTGCAATGTAGATCTGTTCTCTGTCAGCTTCGGTGCCCTGGTATGGCAATCTGGTTTGTTCCGACTTACGTCGTCATGCTCGTACTCGGGGAACATGGCGAACCACTTCTCGAGGAACTTGACAAATTGCTCGGCCATCTCGTCAAGCTCGTGCAAGTAGGCGTTGGTGTCGACATAACTGAAACCTGTTCCAACGGGGTTGTCGACGAAGAGCAGGTTCGCGAACTCGTTCCAGGAGCCGTTGTTGTAGGTTAGGGTGTCCTTATCCTTGACTCTGTAGGGGCCAATTTCCATCAAGGCACCGTCTTCGGAACTGCAGCCGGGGCCGCCATTCAGCCAGATGACGGTGCGCTGCCTGTTTGCGATATGCTGGTTCTGGAAGTGCCAGAAGAAGAGGTTTCCGTTGTGTTCGGGGGTGACTTCGACGTGGCTGTGATGAAACGCGCGTCAGCAGGAATAGCTTCACCAAGCGGCGAGACGGAAGCGTCGGGGGAAATCATGTGCTTACCCTGCGTGCATCTTGATGAATGGCTCTTTCGGGGCGCCGGGCAGATCGTGAACGAAGTAGTCGGCCTGGCTCTGGGCGAGCACTGGTGCGGTCCATGATGCCAGCGCGAGCACCAGCGCGGACATCATCGGTAGGATAGCCATGGTTGGGGAAGTGTGTCCTCCCCAAGGCTACCTTTTGATGGGGGTATTAGACAGAAAAAGGTTACGAGCGTGACCCGATCTGTGATTGCATGGAGACTCTCTCTTCGCCGATGACCACAAGCAGAAAAAGAAAAAGAAGATGGTTGAAGTGAAGTCTAGGTGGAGGGAGGGAGGATTCGGATTGTGGAAGGGAGATGGGGAAAAGAAGATGCGATGCGCGAACTTGATTGAATTCCGTCCGGCGCAGCAGCAGCAGCAGTAGCAGTGAGCAGTAGCGGCAGCAGGAGCACGCGGTGGACGGGACATGCAGAAACAGATCTGTAAAGGTGTACTCTCCGTTGACCACTCATCGGTCGTTGCGCAGCTGTCCGCCGGGCATCCCTGTCGGGTCCAGGTCCTTGGCCAATATTGGCTGACGCAGCGTGGCACAGACTGGAAGGAGAATTGGGGGGTTCGCCTCCGTTCACTTGCTGCCCGCCCTGGAGTCGACCGGCGGCGGCGGATAGTAGCGCAGCCGAAAGGTGCCGCAAGGGCGGGGGGCCACTGTGGCACTCTCTAAACAAGGGGCTTACAGGCTGGCTGCTTCACCTCAGGCCCAGGGACAGTCGCCTTCAGCAGCGGGTGTGCTGAAGTGACGTGGGGCAGGCCCCAGCTTTTTTTTGGTGCGCTGCAGTGGTTCCAGACGGGAGCGATGAGGGTGGACGGGAGATGCCATGATGCCATCCAGGACAGGCTCCAGCATTCGCTTGTTAGCGAACCAGAGGGAGCCTGAGGTTAACTTTACTGCTGCGGCTGTGCGGTGTCGGGCTGCTGGATGCACCTTGCGTACAACAGAGGTGCACTCTCGAGTTTCCATCGTTGTGGTTGTTCTTGTCCCGTACGGTTGCTTATGTACGGACAATAGGCACTATCTCGGACCAGAGAACGCGCAACCAATACTCTGAGCAATAGAGCTCGATATTAAGCCGCAAGCAACTATTTCCAGCCCAGCCCCTAGATACCCCGTACAATGCTTGGACTGTCGATCGAACCCCCTCATGCCGTTGAGCTTCACAACTGTTAGGTCAGACCGGGAGCTGGCCGGAATGAAATGCTAAGGAGCGTCGGGTTACATGTAGACAGCAGAACGCGCGGAAATCCCATACGGATCGCCGAAACCTGGTTCAGGGTCCGGCTTAGGTAATGCACACATCCACATACGTACCTGCGTACCTTACCTCCTCAAAATGGGCACGTACCTATGAGATAAGCAAATCTCCAGCTTTTAGACGTGCAACCTGAGACATCAAACGCTGCTGCGTATCTCCCATCCCTTGTACCTGCCCTTCACAGATTATGAACGATGGAACTCTTGGGGAAGAAAGCCAAGACGGACATCTTCCAAATGATACGGGGCCGAAATCACGATTGATTTTGATCATGTTGCTGCGTCTTGCTCGCCTCTGACCATCAGGTATCAAGACAGCCGTTGCCAAGTGGGTTGCGGCATCGTTTCTTGGGTCTTGCAAAGTACCCGTTCCGTGTCTTAGGGCAGCCCAGCAGACCAGCAAGCGCCTACCTAGTGTAGATCTGCTCAATGACTCCAAACAAGCGTTTGACCAACTTTTCAGCCCATCAAACACACAACACACGCCAGCCCAACGCCCACTGGGTCCCCTTTGACACTATTACGCGGCCTCACGGTACTGCATAGTCTTATTCCCACAACCACACGCTTCACCTCACACTCCTTGCAAAACAGCCACAGTCTGGAACACACACACACACCTCTCCTCCTAGTCACCCCTCGTCTCCCACAAACAACCACCCCCGTCCCGTCTCTTGCTGCCCTGCACAACACAAACATGGGAAAGACGTACATCGTGGAGCACCTCGACCCTGAGCTGGGGCCGTGGTCCGAACTCGAGTACATCGCCATCGCCAAAGAGACCCATGCCGCCGCCGGCACCTTCCTGCTGTCCTCCCTGCCCGCCGCCTTCAAGGCCCCGGCGAAGCTGAGCGAAGTCCCGGCTTTCAAGGCCGAGAACCGGGGCGTCGAGGAGCTGTACGCCCACGACAAGTCCCGCGTGTGCCTGCTCGACCCCGCCGCGGCCAGCGACCTGAGCCCGGAGGACGGTGAAAAATTTGACGCCTTTTTGTTTGGCGGCATCCTGGGTATGGATTTCATCCCGTCCGACGCTTTATCTAATTTCTGACATTTCTAATTCTTACACAGGCGATGACCCCCCAAGAGGTAATCCCGATTAAACTCGTTTGTGACATTAGCACCGATTCTGACCCTTGCAGACCGGACCTCCGAGTTGAGGAAGAAAGGATTCGAAGGCAGACGGCTCGGGCCCACTCAAATGACCACCGACACCGCCGTCCGTGTCACCAGAATCGTTGTCGAGGAGAAGAGTGCGCTCCGCCCAAATGCAATTCCCGTCAGTCGCAACCCTTCACTGACACCATGCAGCAACACTGGACAAGATCCCCTACGTTACCTACCCCGAGCTCAAATTCAGCGAGCATGAGAGCACCGAGATGCCCTTCAAGTACGTGACGGACAAAAACGGCGAGCCCATCATGCCCGAGGTAAGAACGCCATCACGGCTTCCATAGAAAGATGGTACTAACCTCCATCCAGGGCATGGTTGATCTCATCCGCAAGGACGCCGACAAGGCCATTGATGACCTCTTCTAATTGATACCAAAACCAAAAGCAATTGACTACGATTTACGAGGAGAAGCTCCAATTTTAACAGTCTTTTTGTGTGAATGCAGCCCAGACCATCAACATCGATTTCGATTCCAGTTGGCTAAGAGCATATGCGAGAAAATGTGACACCGCCGCAACGCTACATACAACTCACCAGGGTCATTTTAACCATATCTCAAGTATCGGCATAGGTGCCGAATTCAAGCCGCCATGAACCCCGCATCAGAGATCGGCCGTCCTTTGACTTTCAGACAGGCGGTTGTCGACGTTTTTACACGTTCAACTTCATCATTCATCCCGTCCTCTCGGAAGTTGACAATACCCGGTTAGAATTGATCCGGTCTGTTCTTCATTGCACTCCGGGAACGCTCCCGCGGGAACAATCCCGATCAAGTTGGCCGCAGCCGCCACTGTTCATACCATGTCTCCAACGAAGGAACCATCCTATTCCCTCTTATCATCGACTTGCCTTTCCGGGAACCTATCCCACATCGATCTCCAACTCACATCCCTGCAACCCCAGAAAGCTCCCTCATCATCAAAGTGCCAAGCACTCGCTCTCTCTCAACCTCCTCCATCTCATCTCGTGCACTCCCAGCCTCTCATCGCTCCATGTTCAACCTCACACCCAAACCCTCCGCACAATGTCCAACCCCCAATTCACGTTTCGCCAAACAACCTTCACCCACCCCTCCCTCCTCCTGACCCGCCGCAACACAGTCTCCCGCACGACCCTCCACACCCAGCTCGCCCAGCTCCGCGCAAACGGTCAATACGACGCCTTCAAGCTCAAATGGCACCCCATCTACGACGACAACTCCCGCTGGCCCGCGCCCCTCCACCTCTTTTGGGACAGCGACGTCGCCAAATGGATCGAGGGCGCCTGCTACTTCCTCGCCGATGAGTACGACGCCCGCATCGACGCCGCCGTCCGCGAGCTCGTCGCCATGATCCGCGCCGCCCAGCACGACGACGGCTACCTTAACATCCACTTCTCCGTCGTCGCCCCGGGCCAGCGCTGGACCAACATCCGCGACATGCATGAAATGTCGGTCTTCCCGAGAGTCGCCTGAAGCTAACACACGCCCTGACTTATCAAAAACTCAGGTACAACGCTGGACACCTCATCGAAGCAGCTCTCGCGCACCAGCAGTACTACCGCAACGACCTCCTCATGGAGCCCCTCTCAAAGTACATCGCCCACATCCGCGCCCGCTTCGGGCCCGGCGCCGGCCAGACGCGCGCGTACCCGGGCCACCCCGAGATCGAGCTCGCCCTGCTGCGCTTCCACTCTGCCACCGGCAGCCGCGACGCCTACGACCTCGCGCGCTTCTTCCTCGAGGAGCGCGGCAACCCGCGCGGCCAGGACGGGCAGCACTTCTACGACTGGGAGGCCGCGGTGCGCCGCGACGACGAGCCGCGCTGGAAGCGCCCCAACTCGTGGCCCATGGACCGCTCCTTCTGGTACTGCCAGGCCCACGCGCCCATCCTGCAGCAGGAGACCGTCGAGGGCCACGCCGTGCGCGCCATGTACCTCCTCACCGCGGCCGCGGACCTGCTGAACCTCTCCCAAGGGGCCTCCTCCGGGACGCAGCAAGAGCTGGCCGAGGCCGACGCCTGGCTCGCCGCGCTGCGCCGTCTGTGGGCGAACATGGTCGACCGCAAGATGTACCTCACCGGCGGGATCGGGGCGGTCGCGCAGTGGGAGGGGTTCGGGATCGACTACTTCCTCCCGCAGGGCGCCGACGAGGGCGGCGGGTACGCCGAGACGTGCGCGAGCGTCGGGGTGATGATGCTCGCGGAGCGGCTGCTGCACGCGGACCCGGCGCTGGACGGCCGCTACGGCGACGTGATGGAGCTGTGCTTGTACAACAACGTCATGACGGCCATGAGCGCCGACGGGAAAGCCTTCACGTACGAGAACGCGCTGGCCAGCTGCGACGCCGCGCGCAGCGAGCGCAAGGACTGGTTCGTGTGCGCATGCTGCCCGCCGAACGTCACGCGGCTGTTTGGAAGTCTGGGCGGGTACCTGTGGGACTACGGGGAGGGGTTCGTGAATGTGCACCTGTACACGAGCGCGGCGGTCGAGTTCGAGGTGGAGGAGGGGCGGAGGAAGGTGAGGTTTGAGCAGAGGTCGAACTGGCCGTGGGAGGGCAAGGTGGGATTCCGGCTCGACGGCGCCGAGGGGGTGGGCATGACGGTGCGGTTGAGGATTCCGGCGTGGGCCAAGGGAGATTTCATGCTTCTCCCCGCGCCGAAGGTTGGCCAGTCCAAGCTGGAGAGGGGGTACCTCCACCTGGGCCCGGCGTATATGGCCGAGAACCCGGCCTTTGCGATTGTGATTTACGGATTTGAGCCGCGGTATATCGCGCCGCATCCGTACACGAACCAGCGGACGTTGTCTCTTGGGCGGGGCCCGATTGTGTACTGCGTCGAGGATGCGGATAACGAGTGGGAGGAGAACCACTTCAAGGACGTTGGCATCAAGCGGGGCAGTGCGGTTGAGGAGATTTGGAGGGTTGACAAGATCAGGGGGGAAGAGTACTTTGCGCTGAAGACGACTGGTTGGGTTCGTACGCCTGAAGTGGTGATGAGTGGAGAGGAGGGGGAGAAGAGGGATCTGGTGTTTGTGCCGTTCTATTTCAGGTCGAATAGGGGTGGCAAGGGGCAGATGAGGGTTGGGCTGAGAGATGATGATAGGTGAAGATGATGTTTGTCCATGGTGCACGCTACAGACCGGAGTCAGAGAGGAGTCTGGAGTGGCAGCTTTCTTGAGGCTCTGACATATTTATAACTGTCTGATGGGGTGCTACCTTGAGACTTGACAAACAATTGTGGTCCCCCTCTATTTGAGAGAATAACGATCGCGACGCTGCAATTACGTTTGCCTAAATCAAGCTGGAGGTCACTTCCGCCTTGAATAACGTCCCTCTCTGTTCCTCCCTGTTGCCCTCTGTGGATGAAACGGTTATTCTGATGAACCAGTGCATGCTCACTGGCCTGTGATAAAAAGCGCTCATCGTCGGCGATGACGGCGTGCGAGGCTCCTGCCAATGCCCCTATATATTGGACAGATCCGCGCAACTCAGTCCATCCACACAAGCAATGTTAGCTCCGTTTCGGAACATTTGACTCGGGCTTGCGGTGGTAATGTCAGCTAAGGCAATCATTCTGAGAGATATATCAAAGTAAGCCACCTTGGTCCACCATCATCAATATCCAAACGATGTCACTTCTGGCCATTTCTAGCTGTGTATTCAAAGCATTCCTATCTTCATACTATGCGGAACGGCTCAGCTGATTCTTTGCGAATTGCTCTGCGGCCTCCTAGAGTTGAGATGGATGAGGCGCGACCCAGCTCTTTGCAGAACTGGGAGTGAACATCCTGACTGCAGAGAAGTCAGGGCTTTGGTTAATTTCAGGACCTTTTAAACAACGCCAATAAACCTGAATCAGAGGATCTGAATGAGAAGAGCCACCAAACCCAGCGGTGTCTCATCCCCGGCTCCTTTATATTGACGAAGCCCAGTGCAGACCACCAGTCATCCAAGTAAGAATGTCGTTTTCTTGCCCTTGATATCCGAAAGAACCTTGGTAATTGTCAGCAGACGTTTTCTCTCGAATTCGTCCAAGTCAGTCATTTTATTCAATCTCTATCAATCTTTGCGTCGCTTCTTTTCTTAACAGTTTTCCTTGTGTATTCAGCGTATTCATGTGGCATGGCCCTTGGTAGTTCCAGCTAGGAAGTCACCACGGGATTCTGCTGTGGCAGATCAGACTAAAGTCCTTCGGAGCCTGCAACTCTCCCGAAATGAACTTTACCGGCATTCAAGGAGACAAATATCTCGTATCTGAAAGTATCTCTAGTAATGCAGCTTCATATGGCGGCTCACAGCGGCAAGCCTACCTAATCCAAACCTCTTGATGTGTGTGAGACGAGCATCTGTTTCTCGAACTGCACACCTGTTTGCTTACGCATGCATGAGTGGAATGCTCTTTGAAGCGGCTCCTATACATTTTCCAAGCTTCTGTAGCCTCTCTGTTAACGAACAAAGCAATACAGAAGCTGCCTCCTATATCGGTTGGACAGCCCCAAAAACTGGCCTCTGAGAGGTACAGGCATGCTTGGAAGCAGGCGGTCCTCGACTATCTAATCATGAACTTCATCTTTGAGTGACTCTCTACCTCGGGTTTCCTGTCATGATAGTTGTATTAAACGTGGATAGATTTACAGAGGCGCGGTTCAATGCCGATTTCGTGAGTTGAAGCCCGAAATACTTGTGTACAAAGAAGATAACGCCAAGCTTTCTCGTGGATGCTGAGCCTCCCGGCACCTTCAAAAGGTCTTCCCTGGTTGATAGCTTGCGATGGCTACATGATATCCAACATGCTAGACAATTCTCCATCTGCATATGCAAGGTCCTTTGAAGAAACGTGGGATCTCGTTGGATATGCCAGATGCCTGCTCCCGAAAAGCTAAAAAGCCCTTGCATGAACACCATGCTGCCGAGTGGCGCAGACGCTCCTCCGAATCCACCCACATTGAAAAAGTCCGAACCACAAAGGGACTTTCTTTTCCAGACAGATACTTATGGATACCCAGGGAGCTTGTCCCTGGTATCTACGTCGTCACCATCGTCCCCCTTCTCATTCTCCTCTTTCATCTTTCCTGACGACCTCAGTAGTCTTACTTCCTGAGATCTTATCCGATCGTCCTATCTATAGGCCTCATTTTCAGCCATATCCCTTCGCATCAAGTCACGCAAGTATTTTGACGAACAAATACGGGCCTGTACATCCTTCGCCTCTTCCAGCCTATCGATCATGCGCAGGACGTCTTCCAGCTCGATCTGATACCGCAGGACATGACACGAGGCACTCTCCCTCCACTTGTTATCCTGGGCCTCCAGGTACTCGGCGGCACGGATGGCCTCCTTTAAGCACTCCACCCCGGCCTCTGCATCCCCGAGCTTGACCGCCAGCTTGGACGCGATGTACTTGACCCAGGCATACCGCTCCAGCGACTTGCTCTTCCACTGGCCCATCGGCCCCTCGTCCGCAGCACGTAGCCTGTCCAGATGCCTGCCGCACAACTCCCGGAAGCCGTCCCACTCAGCATCCAGAAACGCCGTCGCCACGACCTGGTTGTGCTCCACCGTGATGACCTCGTCCGCCGCCGGCCCGAACTGCGTGATGGCGTCCGTCAGCACCCCGTTGTAGCACTCGATCGTGTGCCGGTGCGCGGGGCCCTGCTCGCCGCACCGCACGTCCACACCGTCCCTTTGGTCGAGCTCGCTTTTTCGCCCGAGGACGTGGCCGTAGTAGTTGAGGCAGTGCTCGTGCATCCGCCCGATGCCCCAGAAGAGCTCCTTCTCCGAGGCGCCCGACATGATCTGCTGCATCAGCATGACCAGCCGCGTGATGGGCTCGCCCTCTCTCTTGCTGACGCAGAGCAGCCGGTAGAAGTGCACGAGGTACGGGGACAGGATGTCGAAGCTGGGGATGAGGTGGGGCGCGTCCAGGACAATGGTGCGGAACATCTCGATGGGGTCGTGCGTGATCACGTCCTCCAGGAGCAGGAAGGCGCGCCGTAGTACCGCCCCGCGCTGGCGGCTTAGAGTGGCAGGCAGTCGGTTGAAGAGCTCGAACATGTCCAGGAGGTGGATGGCCGAGGAAGGCAGGAAGTCGAACCGCAGATGGAGGTCCCACCCGGCATGGTTTCTGGAGCTGCCCTGGATAAGGTCATTGAGGTTGACGAATAGCTCTTGCGTGCGCCGGTCAGTCAGGTTCGCGTGCGCCATGGTCTTTACAAGGGCTGGAGGAGGGCGACCGGTCCTCGACAGGTGTTGAGCCGGGGTTCTGCTGCTGCTGGTTGTGCTGCTGACGCCTCTTCGGGAGGGTCTCTTGCAAGTCTTCCCAGGAGGCATTTCTACGGGTTGGCCTTCATATTGGTCGTTCCGGAGCCCCTGTGTGTTGTACTTCCTAAAATTCCATTTGAGGAACTGTCTCTTGAACATTCTCTCTCTGAGGATAGCCCAAGTTTATTAGCGAACTGGATCATCCTTCAATTCGCATTGGGACTGGTGCTTACGTAGCAGAGAAGGAGTGCTCTTCATACATGATTCGCCTGATCTCCTTCAACGGAAGATTCCTCTCGAGATACAGGCGCCGAATCGCTTCCTTCTTCTTCTCCCAATCTTCTTGCGACTGCGGATGGACAACATCATTCTTCGTCGCAAGCACCAACGGCCTCCCAGGATCAATTGCAGCGGCGGCACCCGCTGAAGAAGGATTCGAATCCATTCCTGAGGAGCAAGTCTTGGATTCTGTATCAGACATGTGACGAGCCTGGGGCGCCATTGCGCATTAACGATGAATTCACATCGACTGATGTATCGAGAGTCGCGAGTTGCGCGCTTGGAGTTCTGGCGGGTCTCCTGGTGGGAAGTTGGTAGCCGCCATGGGCCATGGCAGGGAAAATGCTACCCCGCTGAAGAAGGGGACCGGCACGGGTGGCGCCCAACATAAATGCTCTTTTTCAGCCCTTTCAACGGCCGCGATGGATAGGGAATAGCCTGCCCGGGCTGTCCCTTTTAGTGTTCAATGCCAAGCCTGTCATTAACAAATGTAGCAAACTCTTCGTTCTGCAACCTTCTTGCTGTGGTCTTCATTGGGCGCAGTTCACCCACATCAGGATTGCCTGCCTTTGTGTTACCCCAGAAAGCATACGTCTGGACCACACTCTCCCTCCTAATGGTCTTCAGCCTTCTGGGTTAATGGCAACCGCCTCATTAGGTACTCGGTACATCAGATGTGGCGGTGTATCGAAGCCTGGATTATTGCTAGTCCACTCGAACACCACACGGCGCTGCGTGAGGTAGCATTTGAAGAGGGCCAACAGATGGTTGGCAGTTTGTGCGTTTCCTTCCAGTTCGAGCTTAGCAGGAATTTCTAGCGCACCGTGAGTGTTATGAGGTAGCAAAGCACCGTCCCACAGAAGATGAGAATGGATAAACATCCGGCCCGTCTTCAAGGACATCAAGTGGTATGCATGCATTCAAATCGCTAGGTATGCTTGAGGAATGAGCCTTACGGCCTTCAACGGCTGGTGCTACTGCGGCAATGAATGACAACGGCCTCTGGCGGCCTTGGGGTTCGGCAAACAAGGCAATTGTGTCTGCGGGTCTCCACTGAATCTACGTAGTTCTCGAAAAGTTTCAGAGACTCAAACCGGATATGGTACCGGATATGGTACTGCGTTCCGACCGCGGAGCCGATGCAGCATAAAATTCCGGAAGCCGGTGCAAGCTCCGAGTGTCGCTGGTCATGCCCCGTGGCTCCCGAGTCCGCCTCTCCGTATGACCCACATAGGCGCCGTGAGCTCCGTTTCAGCACTGTGACCCTCCCCAAGTGTGCTAAATATGCCCCGGACGGCCCACTAACATGCTACAAACCAAGGGTGATCAGCACGCACGGAGCGCCATCTGCAACTGCCAAGCACGATTGCCTCAGTCGCTTCGCGTGAGATCAGTGAGGAGGGGAAGTTTAACCTGGAGACGGTGTGCCATCTTGTTTCTTGGCTGGTCCACGTAAGCTGCTGTTTCTTGCAAAGAGGAGAGGGATGACAAGACTGTGTAACTTGGTTGAGACTGTTGATTGGAATAAAGCAACGGCTTAGGTGAGATTGTTTCTCCCCCACGTCCCGAAGGATGGTATATATATGACGGGAGGTTGCGAAGACGTGCTTCTCATACGGGAGCTCTCAAACCATCCAGAAAACCATAATTCAACTGCCACCTTCTCAAACCAAACCGCAACTACTTCTCGTTCAAGCCGAAAAAAATCCACCAAAATGTCAAACGTCAAGACGATTCCCACAAGCGAATACGACGCCGTCGTCAAGGTCGTTCAAGATTTCTACATCGGCGGCTGCGCCAAGGGCGACAGCGCCCTCCTCGCCCAGGGCTTTCACAAAGACGCCACGATGTACGGCCACATGGCTGATGGCGCCCTGCTCGGCGGCCCCATCCAGAACCTCTACGACTTCATTAGCAGCGCCGGGGCGGCTCCTCAGATGAAGGCGCGGTGCGACATTCTGGCAATCACACCGACGACAGCTGTGGTGAGGGTGGACATGGAAAAGGATGCGGCGGGAAACAGCTACACGGACTTTCACTCATTGTTGAAGTTCGATGGGGAGTGGAAGATTATTTCAAAGGTTTTCCATACTCATGCTTCATGAGTGGCCGGTGGGTTGAATCGAGGTGATGTATGGGACGCATAGAGATTCAGGCTCAAATGGGCAATAACACCAAGAATTGGAATGTGAATGAAGGCATATGAGACTCTGATTCTTACTCTCACTTGATGACTAGAGTCATTATGCGAATACCCTTTCTCCCTAATATCAGATTCACGAAACTGCGAAGTTGTATCAATTGCGTATTTATTCGATGTTTCGCATCTGTTTTCCAGTCTCTCTCTTTCGAATAATTCCAGCCCACACCCACCCACTCTATTTCTTCCAGCATTACAAGCTCCAATTGGACAGGTTTGAGTGGTAACTCATATGGGGGTTCTCGATGATGGAAACACTTGGCAGAAGGACACAAAATTGCACAGGACCGACTCGGACTGATTCAAGTGAATAAACGGAGAGAGATGTGTGATAGTAGCATGTTCAATTATGAGCCCAACTGAAAGGTAATCTGGGCCGTATGCATCCCCTCTGCAATGGGGCAAAAGTTTACGGTTCAACGTCCTGAGACATGGATTTGCCACCATGTGAATGAGTCGGCCGCATAAGAAGAGATTGGGCTGTCTGAAAAGTTTCAAGTAAACCACACCGAGTTCATATCTAAATAGTACCATCACGGGTCTTCAACTCCCTCAGAACCCTGATCCTTAAGCTACGCATCCAGTGTCTACCCTTACGCACTCTCAACTTATTTTCCAATGTATGGAGCTGGTCATCTACTTTGCGATATATAAGCACATCTGTCTTCCGACGTGAGTACTTAGCACAAATGAAATCCCATACGCCGTTGACTTTGTCGCACCCTAGAACCTTGCTCAAGACGCCGACTGGCAGCTGTACTATCATTGCTTCATGTTGCGGCCGAGATTCGGAACCATCGTTAGGGAGTATTGGTATCGACCGTCGTCGAGACAGTATTCATCCGGTGTTCCACGAAAGCTACACCGATAGAAGAGATCTCTTGTCGTGCAAAAAACGGTAAACTGGTGTCGGGCAAAGTGATGATTGCTCCTCGACCAAAAGCCGCTAGGTCATTTCAGTCGTTCTCAAGCATGAGGAGCAAGATGTAACCATTCATTTTTATGATTCTTGTCCTTCAGTTAGCCACACACAGGACACGTCATGGATCCTCTCAGTGACAGGTATACACCTTCAAGAAGGAGCTTTGTGACAGTCACCGTGGAGGAATTAAAACAGTGATAACAAGGCAATTTGATGGCTGCATTTCTTTCAGTCAATGCTCTGGTATCAGGGTTCTTCGAAGCACTCCACAGAGATACGTTCGTCATATGATGCAATTCAGCAACCATGATTCTGAAACCGCCCTCGTAGGTAAGCATCCATCAATGTAGAAGAGAATAATCCATGGTTTCGAAGAGAAAACAGAGACCTTGGCAGGATCTCTAGGTGGGCTGATAGGTAACGGGCGGCCTGGCGCCTTCGGAAACGGCACGATGGACAGGCACTTTGGCTCTATGACTGGGACCTTGACAGCCATGAATCCATCTCCTGCATTTTCCACATCACTGAGAGACTTCAGATACTCGCAAGATGCAAGTTTTCGGTGCTGTAACGAGCGAGTCGTATGTCTCCCATGATACATGCTTTTCTGGCACCTCAAAGTCAAAAGTCCACAGCAGCAACGTCAGCAAGATCCTCAATTCCAGATACCCAAGCCTCTTGCCCCAACAACCTCTGTTTCCTGCGCTAAAGGCCAATGCCGGCCCGCTGGCTGCGTTGAAGACCAATGAGCCGTCATCTGCTCTCTTGAGCCAACGTTCTGGCCGGAACGCTTCCGGGTCGAGGTCGTCCCAATTCTGCCTTGACGGCTTGTAAGTCTTGGACGTCTCGCTTCGCATCGACTCGTCTACCGGAACCGCAGGCATATTGATGGACGGGCCCGTGAGGTTGAGAAAGACCTGTGTGTCTGCTGGGACTGGATGGCCGAGCACAAGGGTATTTGTGTTCGTTGTCACCATGATCGTAACCACCGGGGTGTTGAGCCGCAGCACCTCTTCAATGAAGGCGTCCAGGTAAGGGGCATGGCGTACAAGCTCTGTTGGTGTGGGTAACCTCCCCTCTTTCCAAGCGGCAGTGTAAGTGTTGCGGAGGTCGTCCCGAATCTTGGTTTGTTCTGTAGGGTGTGCGAGAAGTTTTCGTACCAGCCAGAGAAGGGAACCCGTCGAGGTGTCATGTCCGGCGATGAGATATCCCGAAAGCTGGTCCAGAATACGAGGGTCTCGAAAGAAAGGCTCTCTGTCGGCCTTCTCGGCCGCCCTCATCTCTCGCTGAATCGTGAAGTCAAGGGCCGATTCCGGCTGGCCGCCTTGAGAAAGTCTAGGAATGGCCGCAGTGATCTGCGATTCTACGTAGTCCTTCAGGACGCGTTCTGCCTTGCGCACTGACGGGCGAAGTTTGTTGACGGCATGGTAAAGTCGAGGTGAAGGCATGTAGAACCCCTTCCACAGAGATTCCTCATTCACCCCCAAAGCCCAGAGTTTGAGGGATTGGTCGGCGGCAGGAAGCTGAGCGAGTTCGTCAACTTCCGAACTACTATCTGTGAAATGCGACTCTTTATTGTCGTGGTCGGACAAATAAGAGAGTTGGCGCTTGACATCTCCGCCTTCGGGCCCAAGGCCAGTGGCTGCACTCAATATGGCGTCGAAGGAGAATTCAACAATGTCGTTGAAAACATTGAACGGTCGGCCCCTTGCAAGACGAGCCTTCGTCCGCCAGAGCTCCAGCAGGTTGCAAGACACAGCATAGACGTGGGGCGCGTTCACCTGTGGACTGGATGTTATTCGAGAACCGTCTCATAAGTTGAGGAGATTGATACATACCGAATGAAGGAATGATGGGGCCATAAGGTCTCTCACCAAGTCTCTGCTGCTCTTGAACCGCGGATCAAATGTCTCCATTGATGGGAACGCATGAGGTAGGAGGCCCCTAAAGACGTCCACCTTCTTCCCTCTCTTGAAGTCGACCGCATCCCGGTGGCTCAGGATGTCATTGACCTCGCGGTAATCAGAGACGAGTACAGCCGGCTTCGCAAATGGACCCAGAAAGATCTGGGTGAGGGCAGAGTTGTGCCTAGGAGCCTGCGCTAGAAACCAAGGTCGGATTCCCTTGCCGCTTTTGTCCCATTCTTCGAGCTCAGTAAGATCTCCCATCAGGCGTTTAGCGGCGCCGCGGTTGTAGGGGATTCCATGGAGAGGTTGACGATATGCCAGTCTGAGGATCCAACAACAAAGAGTGAGGACTATGACACCAACGATTACCGCCGGAGAGACCTGAAGCCACGGAGTGTTGATCATTTTCGATTAACGAGAGGGTGTTTGAACTGAATGGACAACGGCGCAGGAGATGTCCCTGACGGCTGGTCCTCAAAGCTCAAAGCCAATGTGTCAAGTGCATAGCCCCAAGGTCCAGATTTCCGCTTTGGACCTTCGGTATTCCTTAAACGAGGCCCAGGCAGCAGTCCCCGTTTAGGGTGCGCCAGGATTCATTGAGATCCATCGCTGTGCATACGAATTATCCCTCAATACGCCCATAGGGTGTGCGATCCCTAGATGTTTTGCCCCTTGGGCGTGTACGCATCGCACGGAGAAATGGCTCAGGGGTGTGGGCAATTGTGAGAGCTTCAATGAGATGGAGAGAGTTAGGATGGATGGAAATACTCTGATATCTCTCTCCAAGGTTACTTAAAGGGGCGTTGACAGATTCTAGGAGATTATCGTACGACTTACTTCGTCATTCGGCCCATTTCTCTATCACATCTTAGTCCTCCACAAACCTTCCCATACGATTGCAGTTCACCATGTCCCAGACGACGCTATCTGAAAAGCAGGCGCTTGTGCAGGGCAAAGAAACAACTAAATCAGACGGACTCTCGCAACAGTATGGTGGTCTTCACCCCGAAGGCTGGGTCGATCGGCTTCCCGAGTCCTGGATCCCCTACATCCAGCTTTCTCGTCTGAGCCCGCCAGCCGGCTTCTTCCTCATCTACTTTCCTCATACCTTCGGCGCCCTCCACGCCGCGAGCGTCCACGGTCTCCCAATCCAGGATGTCCTTCGCGTGTGCCTCATACTGCTAGGCGGGTCGTTCTTCTGCAACAATGCCAGCCACGCGTGGAACGACCTCGTCGACGCCCCCGTCGACGCTCAAATCGAGCGAACACGAATGAGACCCATCCCTCGAGGTGCCATCTCATACCGCGCCGCCTTCATCTTCGCCTGTACGCAGGCAATAGCCGCGGCTGCGTTTCTGCTCTTCCTACCCAGGGACGCAAGCTTGGCCGCAATCCCGACAATCATCGGAACCATCTACTACCCTTGGGCAAAGAGACATACCAACCTACCGCAATTTGTTCTCGGGTTCTGCCTGACGTGGGGAATTATGGTCGGCAGCTCCGGAATGGGCGTCTCTCAGCCGTGGACAGATGCCTCGACTGTCAGCCTACTGCTGGCATCCATTCTCTGGGTTGTTGTGTTTGATACGATCTACGCCCACCAGGATATTGTAGACGACCTGAAGGTTGGGGTCAAGAGCACTGCGATCTTGATCCAAGGGTTCGCGAAGCCGGCTCTCTGGTCGATGTTTCTTAGCATGATTGGTTGTCTCATAGCGTCTGGCTACTACGGCGGAATGGGACTCCCATACTACGGACTCGTGGTCGGAGGATGTGTTGTCTCGGTCGGTTCAATGATTGCGAGAGTTGATCTCGCCGATCCCGCTAGCTGCTGGCGCTGGTTTTCTCAGGGCTTCTGGCTCACTGGAGCAGCGATCGCGAGTGGTCTTCTGGCTGAGTACTTGATACTGTAAAATATTATCCTTCATCTTAGAGCAGAGGGTTTAGTCGTCAGTAGTCTCAACTACTCATTGGGACGGCAATCATCCAATAGAGTACACGTGTGGCAGCTTCGTCGTCGGAGCGCGCTGGAAGCTATCATCCTGTAAGCCTTGCTTTCATTTTTCCCATGGTGACAAGTGCACTTTCGTCCGGTGCCTCATTTGAATACCCCTACAATGATGAGATGTATGCCTATCAATACTGGAGATGATAAATGCAGTTACCGGGGCTTTCCAGAAGAATATTGACTACCCTCTGATCCACCCCCACGACCCACGTCTGAAAGACCGCGCATCCTTGGCTGTCTGGCACCACCCGTAAGGCTGCTGTCGTTATCAACGCAGATGCACTAGCGGCTCCATCAACTTTCACCCATGCATTAGGCGATCTAGGCCCATTGGACCCTTACCAGGGTCATTGTGTCAACCTCGCCTTGCATTCTGCCCCTGGCCCTCACGTAAGACTGACTAGACCTCGAACACCCCACTGATCCTAATCCTTCGGATAGGCCCCTGGCGGAGCCGATTCCTTCGCTAACATCTGCCTGGGCACGGCATATGATCACGGCAGTTGTCGCGACGGCTTCTTCTGCTTTATGTACTGGAAATCAACAAGCAATGCTTCCCGAGAAGCGATTACTAGCCTGGATTTCACCGAAGGTGACGAACTAAACACCGGAGAAACCTTGCCCAGCATGCCCGAGTCCGACAAGAACGCGGTGAAGTACTCCGACTCGGACACTCTTGTCACAGTGTAATCACTCTCACCCCCATCCTCTTTGAGCCTCGAACCTCAGTGACCGGGCTAACTATCCCACAGTCTAAATGGTGCCGTCGTCGGCCGTCTTATTCAACACCCGGAGCGCTCATTTGCCCTACGAGTTGAGCTAGACCTCGTGAAGGGCGCCAAGTTCTTCGAAAAGAAGCCTCCCACACATTTCCATCTCCAGGAAGAGTACATTGAGGCTGTTGAGGGGAAGATCATCGTTGAGCTCGAAGGCAAAGAAATCATCCTAGGGCCGACGGACGGCCGATTTCCCATCAAGCCGTACGTCCATCACCGGTCGTACCCCGTGCCGATCTCGGGCCAGGACGACGGCATCACTCAAGTCGCCTTTCTTCTGTCTGGTGAGAGGACGGACAACGTCTTTGAGTTGAATCCCGTGTTCTTTGAGAACTGGTATAAGTACCAAGACGACATTGTCGTGAAGGGTGAAAAGATCGACTTCTTCCAACTTTTCTGCGTATGTTGTCGGATGTTCCTCTGCGCCCCTCGCGTCGGCTGGCGTTGTTAACTAACTCATTCCCAATTTAGACATTTGATGCTGGAGGAACCTATGTATCGTTTCCCAGCTGGGTTCCTTTCGGGAAGTACTTCTCTGTCGGGCTGGGTATCGTGGTAGGGCGATGGATCGGGAGCGGATTGCTCGGGTACCAGCCATTCTATCGCAAGTGGACAACAGATTGGGATCTTGCATGCGATAGAATGAGTCAGACGGTCTTCCAGAGACGATTTGTAGACAATGTAAAGGCCGATTAAACGTTTTCCCGCTTTCATAAATTCTTTCAGAGGCTTTCAATTCTCATTTAGCAGTTTCCCGTTGAGTTTGGTGCTTCCGGATCGCCGTAGTGTCGAGGCATCTCAACCAAAGAAACAAGTTCTTCTGACATGCGCTGGAAAGAGGATTAGGATAGAGATACAATGGAAGACACCGAATAGTTCATCCACATTGTGGTGGTAATCAATTAATTTGTATTTCATTGCTCCCTAGGATCTAGTTCCGGCCACAAAGATCTAAAAGCTGTAAGACCTTTGACTGTAAGTGTCTATTTGCCAGAAATCGTTCGAATAATGTCCCCGACGTGGAACGGTTCGAACTCCTTTAACAACTCCGACCATAGCTGTTCTTCGATCTTCTCGCCTTCGGGTGTATAAATGATCGGCGCCAACCTTCACATTCGAAACTGTTAGACAAGAATCCTAGGTTAAAGGAATGCATCACTCGGGGAACTGACTTGAATAACTTGGTAAACGACAGGAATAGTCCGTGGGTTTCTTTCCCATGGTTGATGACAGCGTCAGTGACCAGTCGAGAACCCACGACGGCGGTATTGGCGACGCGCTTCATGAACACCTTGGCCACGGCGCCAGAAAATGTCTTGTCATGCTCGCGATTGAATTCGGAGTCATGTACAGAGCCGGGAGATACTGAATTGATCAGCACCACAGATGGGGGGACGAGTGCCGCGAGCTTGTGAATGAGAAACTGCCCAAGGAGCTTCGTCACAAACATGCGATCTAGCATATCCACCTTTCCCTCCTTGTCCAGGGAGGCCAGGAGAGGGAAAGTAGACTTCTCCGCAAAAGAAGTCCATGCGGCGACCTCAGACGAGGTGAAGGTGATGCGAGCAGGTGCTGGCTGCTTTCCGACCTTGTCCTTGAGGACCGGCAGGAGCTGAATGGCGAGCAGGGCCGTGGAGATGAAATTGACCTGTACCATCTCGTCATGGCCTGTCTTGTCGTTGAAGACGCGCTTCGCATGACCGACGCCCGCGTTAAGGACGACATGGTCGATGCGGTCTAGTGTACGGGTGCGCTCGACGAACTTGAAGACGGACTCATAGACGGACAGGTCGAGCTCCCACACTTCAATGGCGGCGGCCGGGACCTTGCGGCTAGCAACGAGCTTCGCGGCGGCTGCTTTGCCCTTCTCGAGATTTCGCACCGCGAGGATGAGCTTGCTTAGGCCGAGACCCAACAACTGACTGCCGACCTCGAAGCCAATGCCCGTGTTGGAGCCAGTGATGATGGCGGTCTTACCGCTGAGGTCGACATCGCGGATCTCGGCGGGCTTGAAGGTGACTTGCTGGTAGAAGAAACGAGAGACGCTCGGTTGGGGCTGAGGCTCCGTGGTGGTGTCGACGTTGGCCGTCATGTTGGAGGTGAGGGAGCAGGATCAGAGGCGGAGAAAGAGAAGACCAGCACCGACGAAGAGGTCGGACAGGAAGTATTGGCGTAGGTGCGGGGGTGGTGGCGCGGCGGTAGAATGATGCCGGGGTTGAGTTGTTTGCGATGCGCGCCAAGGCCAGGCACGATGAGGCACAGTTGGCAGCCTGGCGCATGTTGCACTCCAACACGCTCGGCGCGAAGCCCGTGGCGGTAGGGAGGATGACAGTGGGGTTCGGAGCTGACGACCGTGTTCGAATTGCGGAGGCGGTCATTGCTCATGATTTGCTGGCGAGATAAGCAAAGTACAGGGGATGCAGATGACAACGAGATGACAGATTCCGGAGCGCGTCCCAGGCCGCAAGCCACACGGGTGTGAACCCCACGGCATTGACCCGCAGCCTATGAGAGGGGGGCGCTCCGGCGCACAACCGGAACAGGCCGACCCATCCACACCACGGGAGACCCACTCTTTCCGAAGGATGCGGAGGTGGGTCCTTTGCGGTACCTCCCGTATTCGGACAAATGAGGCACGCACAGTACGTACCTTTGCCGCTATGTAACAGCAACTCACCGATCAACTTACAGCATCAACATGGATTAACATTCCTCACTGGCTCCTTGAATGCGCTATGCACTTAAAGCGTAGATATGCAACGTTCACGATCTTTCAGGGGTGGGCGTCCGATGGCTGTCTTACATTCCCGCTACGTTAGGCGCCGCAATCTCAACCGCCAACAAGCACCAACGGCCAATGTGACAGAGAACCCCGGCAGCACTCAATCAGATGCTCCACCCAAAGATTGCGACACATCCCTGTACGAGGTTGCCTAAGTTGCCCAGACTCACGCACGCGAGACCAGGAACCCTCCGTTCTGCTGCGTCTGGAACACCTGCTTCGGGTCGTAACTAGCCGCAATGCTCTTCAACCTGTCCAGATTCGCTGCCCCATACGACCGGAGGGGATTCTGGTCCCTGGACGCGTCGTTCATGTACTCGAAGTCCAGATGCGAGCCGCGTGATTGGCCGAGCTCTTTCCACTTCTTGGTGGTCTCGATGGACACAGACCGAACCACCTCGTCGTCTTGCTCATCCTCCCAGTCAATGATCGTCGTCCACCCTGGAGCCGGGTTAGCTGCTGTGGACTGTGGACTGGTCTGGACGGTCGCGCCGTATTCTAGGCATTGCGAGAGTCGGACTTACACTGCTGGTCCCCGGTGGGAATATTCAGGGGGTTGCCTCCCTTCTCGACGCCTTGGTCAATGAGGTGTTGTCCCACATGCTGAATGGCGAATGTCTGGTTGGCTCCAGTGGCCTCTCTGACTGCAATCGCCTTTTCCCGCCAGAAGTTGTACATGTCAATGGTCAGCTCCGTGTCGATGCGCGAGCTGTATCCCCTGTAATCATGCCTGCGAAGTACTTTAGTACATGTCTCGGAGCTTTTCTACCGGGGAACTACTTACCGTCCCGGCAAAGTCGGGAAAGCTGACTGCAGTAGCTGAGCCACAAACGCGAAAGTCGTGTTCAGAGGCGGGAGCGCAGTAGCAAGAGGCGTCAGGTTGCCGAACGGGGAGAATGCATCCGGACGCCGAGCTACGGGCTCCGAGTACACCAGGCCGACAGTGATGGAGTCGAGAGACACAGTCAGAGCGATGGTCGACTTGAAGTCTGACGCCCCGTCCTTCTGCCACTCGTCAAAGGCTCGGAGGACGTCCTCAGCCTGGTCGACGGAGTAGATGAGGATTTCACCCCAGACATCGTACACCGGGATGGTGTAGAGGTCGTACCGGGTGACGACGCCAAAATTGGGGCCACCGCCCTTGAGGGCCCAGAAGAGATCCTGGTTCAGGTCGGCATTGGCGTCGATGGTTGTACCGTTGGCGAGGACAACCTGTGAAACCTTGTGAGCTTTTTGATGGGCAGCTACAAAAATGACTAGCGACGGAGCATACCTCGAAGTTCTTGACATTATCCGCAGCAAGTCCGAACTGCTCTGATACGTGAAAGTAGCCACCTAAGACCTGATCAGTGTTTCTGTGGAGACCAACAAGCCGTCTGATGGATGCGACTTACCACCCAGCATCAGACCCCCAACACCGACAGAAGGCAGCCTACCACCCATGACGACAACCTTGTCGGCGTCTAGAGTGGAGTACACGTCTCCCCATCTTCCGCCTGGGCCGACACTCGCGAAGGCGCGGTCATCGGACAGCGTGACTCCATTCAGTCTCTGCAGGTCTACGAGAACGCCCTCTTGGCCAATACTGGCCCAGCCCGGGTTCGGGGAGTGGCCGCCACTGCGAACGGCAAATTTGGTCCCGAAGAACTCGACTATGCGGAGCGAGACCGACACATCGCTTGCGTCCCTTGGCTGGATGACGCAGTGCGGCTCAATCTGGCAGGTCTGTGACCTGCGGGCATTGTTTCAGTATCAACTCTAGAATATGCGATGATGAATCCCAGGGAGGGGAGGGGGTCGACTTACCAATTCACTTCCACGGCGGTTTGATCGACTATTGAGGCATCCACCTGGGGTTCGCCAAGGACATACTGCGCCAGGAGACATGCGCCTTCAACTGAAGAGGAAGAACCGTTTCTTGGGCTGTACTTTTCCGTGAACTTCTGCAGGTCTTCATCCGTCACGCCTAGGCTGCGGGCAAAGTCCGCAAGCTCGGTAGTCCTGGTGACTGGTGCGGCTGCACCTGCGACTGTGCTAGCAGTGCCGAGGAGGCAAAAAGCACCCGCAGCGATAGTGAGAGACTTCATGATTGAGGGTTACCGGGAGCTCGTCTGGGGATACGGAAGCAGGTCACATGGTCGCACTGGATTTAGTGCAATATTATATATCCGTAGACGCCAAAGGGACGTCCACCGGCCCTGAAATCCCTCCAAATTGGTTCGAACGCTAGGCAACGGTCTTCCATTAGGCACGTATGGTCGTTGAATATTGGATGTGAGACCTTTGATCAGAATTCCATGACTACCCGGTCTTGGTTCCAAATGCAGGGCTCAGCTGTCGTCTTGAATATTCGTTGCTTTCCTAGATGTACCCCATGAGTGATTAACGGGCGTATTTCTTGTCTAGGCCAGCTTCCTGGCGTCTGACGCAGAGACGCCGAGCTCCACCACCTATCAATAAGCCGATACACCGGATGCAAGGTCTTGTTGGAATCTCGCCTTCGACGTCCGTAAAGGTATCGGGGCGGCACGGCTGACTGGCTCCGCTCTAGACGTCAGATTTCGCATCTACAATTGGTGGAGATACAGTACATCTGCCTTGGCCTATTATTATTTACGCCCTTCAAATGGGGCATATGCAAGTAAACCATGTTTTCTTGCATATTGACAGGGCTGGAAGGTGACTGACCAGGTTCTGGTTCATATAGTCTGTGAGGAAATCGAATATCCGGCCCAAATCTGGCAACAGGGACCCAATTATCATGGCTGGGGCAGTACCTGGGAATCAAGGTGCTCCATTCAAAATGGGGTAGCTGCCTACGAATCCCACCCCACAGCCACGTGTAAGCCAACGTTAACGGTGAGGCGCTTGATTCATAGGGAACTTCGGTTCGAAGCGAGGTACTTCTGTAGCATGGTCAGCATCGCCCCTGATTTCTGCGTTAGATTTACCAGAAATCTGGCGCTGGCAGCTGTCGGCGTCGCTATTATTGCAACGATATTACTGTTCGTCCGAAAGATGGACCCAGTACCATGCTGACAGTCCGACAGAGCATCCAGGCTTTCGGCTCCAGCATCGTACTCTGGATCTGCATTGTCCCAGCAAATCTAGACCACTGGGCCGCATGGTCAAAGTTCCTTGATGATTGGCTGCGACTTATCCATCTACGGCGGCAAAGCCCTCTACGCTGGGAGAAGTGGAGGTAGATGGCCCCACGCAACAGGTGTCAGAGGAAGTACGCTCACATTCCACGAATGATTATTTCCATTTCATCCATGGCATCTAGACATGAACATGGGCGGGGCGTATGCTTGCCCAATGCGATGCTACTCTGACTTCAGCCTCCTCAGCCGAACCCTAGCGTCACGGTCGGGCGACATGGCTATGAACCCCGCAAACCGTCTGTCGTCCAGCGGCGGCCTATCGGACTTCGATCCGTCCGCGTTGGTCCATTCGACAAATTCAAACTCGAATTTCGTGACCAGGACTGCGATCGCTAGCAAGATTTCCTGCTTGGCAAAATGGCGGCCAGGGCACATGACGTATCCTCCGCCTGAGAAACGTCAAGAACAAGTGGTTAGCAGGGCTGCTGTCATGAAAGAAGTACTCAGTCTCGTCATTATCGTACTCACCATATGGGAAAAATGAGCTTGGACGTCCTTTCATGGAGAACTGCGGCCGTCTGGTGGTTTTACCACTGCAATCGTCGACCTCGTCAACGTATTTGATGTGACGCCAGGCCCAGAACTCAGACGCTGGATGACCCTCGGCGCCCCAGACTGCCTCTTCGTAATGGGCAATTTGAGAGCAAGTTTGCACCAGCGCCCCCTTCTCGATGTTGTATCCGTTAACCACGAGAGGCTCGGTGGCTTTGCGTGTGACGTTGAATGACACGTGCAAGCGCATGATCTCGACGTACAGAGATTGCATGAGAGGGAGATTGATCAACTTGCTTGCGTCTATCTGACGCGTCCCGTTTGTCGGATCTGTTGTGAACGCGCCCAACGCCTCGTCGCTGACGGCCTGGAAAAGAGCCGCATCCCTGATTATCTCAATCATTGCCCACACTGTCACGGGAACCGTGTTTCCATTCAGGCTGTCCGACGACTCGTCAGTAAGATAATGTGCTGCCCTGTCTGCCTCTGTGATTTGAATCAACTCACCCGAAGAGCGACGCCAGCGTGTGGCCGGCAGCTGCGTGGTTGGAGAAACCCTTCTCTCGGAGCCACTTGGCCGTCTCTCGGGACAGTCTTGAGCCGAAGTGAGGCTCCCACGCAGAGTCCCTGTCGGGACCTTCCCAGTCAAAGTGCTCCCATGCCGAGTCGATATGTTTCCGAGTCATGGAGTGAAGTTGGTCCTTAATCGCAACTGATTTGCGCTGGAGAAACTTTGGCAATCCCCAAACGAGAGTGCCGGCAATGTCATCAAAGTCCCAATAGCACTGCACGAACCCGGGATTTAGATCAATAATCTTGGACCCGAAGAGTGAGATTATAGCACTCTCTGCCATTGCAGTCTTGAGCACATCGAACAGCTGGACCGTGGCCCATTCCTCGTCGAAATGCTTGTCCAGCCGTTCCGCGAATAACTTGCAAAATGAGTCGGCGAGAGCGTCAGAAAACTTGCGGTTACTAAGATACTCCGCATACAAACGGTCGTGACCCAGCCAGTAGCGCTGGTCGTCGGGCGTGGCGAGCCCCTTGGCTGGGACTTTAGAACGCCCGGATTTGTCGTTGGCGAACTTGCTGATCTCCTCGCGGTTTAGGCCCCAGTGCTTGTCCATGAGCATCAGCTGGAGAAAGTTGCCATCCAGTAGCCCTGGTGAATTGAGGACAAATTGGACATTCTTTGGGCCTGTTACTATGTAAGCGGGCATACACCCAACATAGAACTTGACGATGTTCGTCTTGGTCGCCTCCAAGGTCTCTCTGTGTTTATCCGTCAGTTTGCCATATACACTGGTTCGGGTCGGGATCTTACGCGACCCGGTCAATGAAGACGCCGGCATTGGTCAGGTATCCGATTGTGTTCGTGATGAAGGGGACAGTTTCTTTGAGTTGTGGCGGCGTGTTTGGTGTAGATCGAAAACGAATGAAGGCAAAAAGTGCCAATGTCAATACCACGATGAGACATACAGCGTGGGATATGGGAAGATCTGTCACCGCTTCGTATAACGGACGAGATTGAGACATGGCGGGCGGTACAGTGTGTCGAGCCCGTCCAGACAGCTTCAGAGCAGAACACGCCAACTGGGAGAGATATGGATAGCAACCTTTGCTGCTGAACAACTGCACTTTCTCTTCACCACTCATTGCTCAAAAGTTCGCATTCCTTCTAAGGAATGACACCCAGTCTTGATGAAGACCCTAGACGCGTTGTATGGGGTCCCCCACGTTGCATCCACCCATGTCTCGCCGAGTCACCATGTCAGCGAGCAAACCCAGAGAAAGGCGTCGCCCCCACCACGCAGCACCCACACAGGCCATCGTGGAGTCGCCGTCGAGACCGCTCCGTAAGGATTTGCTCAGCCTGTAAGAGGGGCAAGGGTCCTTTCTAGATAGCAACTTGCATCCGAGGATCCGGAATGGTAGGCTGGTGCCTCGGAAGGATCCTCTTAATGGAATTCACCGTTGCTCACAGTGAATCTTTCACGCCCAATTGGTCCAGTTCAACTCAGGGACTAGTCATTCTAGCATGGAAGCTTGCATATGAGGCTGCTGTCTTCAACAAGACTCTCAGGCGTGTTCCTATCCATAACATGGGTTTTGACCACGCCCCTTTCGGCCCCACTCACACAGAGGTGTATCCGTTATCATTTGATAGAGCCGTAATTGGCAGGTTGAATGCCCAAGCCGTGAAGACAGAACACCAACAAAACAAAAATCACGCATGGTGAAGGGTCTTCATGGGGGCGGACTGTAACGGGAATCTCGTCCGGGATCTCCTGAGGATTCGCTGCCTGAATCTGCTGTACTCAGCCTTGACTCGCCGCATCAACTGTAGCAGTGTGGCGGCGATTGGGGACTTACTGTGCTAGGCCTCGCAAGGGCTTTCTTTCCAGGCTGTATTGTATGCAGCTGGTAGCTGGAAAGCACTTGGTGGTGCGGAGACACGGACATGACTGGGCTGCGTAATGTATATAATCTGAAAGAGAAATTCAGACTGCAGGGAGGCCTACCAAGTCGTCCATCAAGTCAAGCGTGCTGTTCATCTGAGTAACTTCTTCGTAATTATGGGGCCTTCCGAGGCACGACCTTACTTTTCAAGCCGAAGGGCCGTGGCTCCGCTCAATGTCATAATTATCGGCGCCGGTATCGCGGGGCTGTCGGCCGGTATCGCCCTTGCGCAGACCGGCCATTCAGTGACCATCCTCGAGCGAGTACCACAAATCACGGAAGCCGGGGCCGGCATTCAACTTGCGCCCAATGCCACGAGAATTCTCCGTAGAATGGGGGTTATCGAAGAGATCATGGAGCATATGTCTGTTCTTTCGAGAGTCAGCATCAGGTATGAACATCGCCCAAAGATCGGTAGGGATTTCATGATACGCTTTGTCTCCTGAAGTCCACTCAATCTGAACATTCACCTCTCTTTGAGTAAACTATGGTTTTCATCCGCTTACACGAGTTCTGATAGGCGGTACGATAGCGATGAAGAGCTCGGATCAAGCCCACTGATGCCAGCCATCGGCATCCGATACGGGGAACCGATGGGCGTGATACACCGTGGTGACCTGCAACGCATACTTCTGAAAGCTGCTCTGGAGTCCGGCTGTTGCATACGGACTTCACAAGTCGTCGTCGGCGTGCATTCACGATTCCTGCCTCAGGTGCAAGTAAGAGACGCTCTGACCGGGATGTTCTCATGGATTTCCGCGGATCTCGTCGTTGCAGCTGATGGAATCAACTCAATTGTCCGGAAACAGCTTTCCACGGCAGCTGAGTTCTCAGATGAGCCGATGCCTGGAGGTGACGCAGCGTATAGACTGCTCGTACCCCGTGAGAAGATCAAGCACGACAGTAAGCTTCTGCAGATGCTGGACCAGGACGTAGCTGTTCGGTACATGGGTCCAGGAGGCCACGTGATGGCATACCCTGTGAAGAGGAACACACTATATAACCTTGTCCTCCTACACCCTGCAAAGGAGACCGATCAGAGGGATATCGCATCAGAGGATGTCTGGTCTACCAAGGCTCATAGGAAAGCCATGCTGGACTTCTACAACGACTGGTCTCCCGCCGTCCGAGCATGGCTGCGACACGCTGAGGAAGAGATTCTGGAATGGAGGCTCGACACGTATCCTGCCATGCCTCGTTGGGTCCGTGGAAACGTGTTGCTGCTCGGAGATGCGTGTCATCCTATGCTGCCGTACGTTGCCCAGGGCGCCGCCATGTCTATAGAGGACGCCGCTGTACTGGCTGCCGCATTGACGCGTACGTCGAACGTCCCCTTGGCGCTGGAAGTGTACGAGACTGTTCGCAAGGAACGGGCGGACAGGATTGCGGCGAGTGCGGCGTCAACTGGACGCAGCCTTCACTTATCAGACGGCCCGGAGCAGGAAAAGAGGGATGATGCGATTCGACACGCTGTCGTTGGAGGCGATCGAGAGGACCGCTGGTGTGATAATGAGTGGCAGGACTACATGTGGGCCACCGACGTGACGAGGGATACGATTGAGAACTGGGAACAGCTGGTGGGATTTCGGCCGCGATTATAACGAGGAAAGATATTTTGGTCTACGAGCTTCCTCAACATACCTTTTCAATGCGTTTTGAAGCCTATATAGGGCGCTAAATGATCCAACATGTATGGGTGTACTGGGAGTCAACGTGACATTCATGCGAAAACACATGCGGTTACTCTCGGAACTCCGAAAACGTTCTTTTACCAAGCGGCTGTTCGCCATGAAATTCGACGTCGAGAAACATGTCTATTGTTCAATTTCCGTATGTCGGGATAAAACTCGCCGTATTTGTTGTCTGAGGCCCGCGGAGCTCTACTGACGTGGTGGTTGGCAATGCAGGCGGACCGGACCGCGCGGGACGGCCTGGGGTCCACAAGAGCGTCTTTCACCGAAGGCAATTGGAGCAAAAACTTTTATTCTGTCGCTGAAGCTATCATCAAAGAAGAATCCGTAGCCGCGGTACGTTAAGCTTTGCTCAAGCCATGGAAATTTGGAACTCCATGCTCTAGACTTGCCCGTTGGATACTAGGCTTCGTCGTGTTGTTAGTCCAGAACTCACCTTGATGGAGCGAAACCGTGAGAACAACAAACGTTGAGTATGCTGCGGGTTGGAGATGTGCCCACGTACTTTTGCCATCATACGACGAAGATGTCCTCACGTGTTACTCAGGGGGCCAGTGATCAGAAACATAAATAGATGCTGTCTTTTCATGAAATGCAGTGTTGCTTGAAGACAGAGCATCCTGCCACATCATCCTAGTCACATCACACCATTGAAATCCACTTCATAATGATCAGTACCTTCACCACCTTCCTCGTCGCGGCCTCGGCTACCACTGGCGTCCTCTCTGCCGCTGTCATAAGTCCAATCTCACAGCGTGACACCGGTGCCGGCCTTATATACGACCCCTCCGTCGTCGGCACTCCCGCTTGGGATACCTTCCAGGATACGGACGTCCTCTACTAGATTGACGCTGACATAGACGCTACTAATGTCTTTGTTCTTTAATGTGTTGATGCTGTGAGGTCAAAACTGTGCCGTTTGATCACTTAATTCGCTAACATATTCATGCAGGGATTCAAAGGTAATTGTCTCGTCTTTGGAACCCCCTTGGCACTTGTGGTGAGAATGATGAAAGCATCATTAGAGGACAGGACGCTGATTGCGTGTCTTGTAGTCATATACACCTCGTTTTCGGCTTCGATCGACAAGACCTATGAGGACATGGTGATTTCGTTGTCCACCAACACTGGTGGAAAGTGTCGCTTCTACAAGTAAGTAGAGCTCATTCAGGGCAACAACCCGCATCTGATGTTAATCAACGAACCGAAAGAAACCATGCATGCAACGCTGGAGGCCACGACGTTCCCATCGTACTGCTACCGCGGGGTCTCTTTTATACACGAAAGGCCAAACAGCCAAAAACAGAATACCCCGGCACCATATTCAGGATCAACGAATCTTGTCTTGACGATCCACCCCCCGCGATCATGCTAGCACGCGAAACCTGCAAATCAAACAGGCTCAACATCCTGTCTAGAAGGCATATCGGAGTGGCCTCTGGATCCAAATTGGAGAACACCCCTTTATAGCATGCCTGCAAGTTCGGCACTCCAAGTCACTCGAATCTGTCTAGAGTTACAGTCACGACGTCTCAGAGCATAAAAGGTGTGGCCAATGGCGGGCATTGTCATTCGTGGACAATTACTAGCTAGTGTACAGTATTCGCCAGACATCCATCTGGCAGGCGATGCAAATCGCACCGCATCTCAATGCATTCAAAGTCCCCCTTCCTTATGCGTCCGTTTCCCCTTCATTTCCGTTGATTTACGGTCATTCCCCGACGATGCAAATGCTGTACCGGAACCATGATGCTATGCCGATATGAGAAAATCAAAGTAGAAAAGTCGCCGTACCTGTCCCCGGCCGCCCCTTCTCCCATATTCCGTGAATAATAAACCGAGTTCGTTTCTCCGCCTCGATTATTGGGCGTTTTTTAGACAAAAGAAAAGGGAGCCCATCTCCCTAAATCCAGCTAAATGAAGTTGGATATGTACATTGAGCCGCGTGGGCGGTGCGGACTAGTTGTCGTGTCTGAAGGTGCACTTGTCGCCTCTGGCACACTTGCCCTGCTGCCAGAAGCTGCAAGGCTTGGTTCCGATGAGAGCGCGGTTGACCGGTCGATGAGGAGGGAGCGTGGCCCCGCCTGGAGCGTTGCCTTTGCGGTTCTTACCCTGCTTGCCCCTGCCACCCTCGCGATCCCGGTTCCGATCCCGGTCGCGTCCACGGTGTTCCTCAGATTCCTCCCGGCTATCCCGATCGCTGTAGTCGATCAACTTCCGTCCGTAAGATGGTTTGTTATACGAAGGCTCCGGCGTGTGATCGACAGCGGGCGGCTCGGGAGCCGGGGGTGGCTGTTGCTGCTGAGGCTGCATCTGCGCGAGCATCATCAACTGCTGGTAGCCCTGGTCCTGAGGGTTGAGACCGAAGGCACCGGCCTGAGGTGCGCCCTGGGCGGGCTGCTGGCTCATTTGAGACAGGAGTGCTTGGAGCTGAGCATCGCCTACTTGCGGCATTGGCGCTGCTGGGGCCGCCGCAGGTTGAGCGGACTGCTGAGGCTGGGCACCTGGCATGGATTGCATCAGAGCCATGTACTGGGCGTACCGTTGCTGTTGCTGGTAGTAGGCTGCCCACGCGTCCTGGTTGTCCTGGCTCTGGGGCGCTGTCTGCTGTGCGCTTGCTTTCGCCTCCGCATCAGCCCGAATTCGTTCTTCGGTGTCCCTCTTCGCCTTGGCCACTGCATCTTTCTGGAATCCAGCCCACCATTCCCTGACTCTCTCTTGATCATGAGCGAGCCAGTCAGGCGGGTTGGTTGCAGGGTAGGGCAGTCCTCGCAATTTCTCGACAACCTCTTCGATGCTGTTCGCGGCCGCCTGGATACTTGGGTCCGGGTAATCGTAGCGTCGCTGCGTCTGAGGTGCTGCCGCATTGTAAGGGTTATTGTCCCTCCAGTCCTTCAACTTGTCGGACATCAGAATGCCGTGAACCTTGTCGTCAAATGGTATCGAAGGGATAGGCTGCATGTCGGCTGCAGATGGGATGATCGGCTGAGCAGGGGGCTCTCCAGGTGGAGTCATGTTGTACGGCTCGGGAGTGACAGCAGGTGCAACAGGTTTGAGGTTGCCCAGAATGGAGTTCAACTTGCTGGCGGGGTCATCCTTAGCTTCGAGACGCTTCCGAGCATAATATGCCGCAGCTTCCCAGCCAAACTGCTGACTCTCCTTCCATCGCTTCTGAATCTCGTCGAACTTCGCATCACCCTGGGGAAGCTGCACGGTCTTGGCGTCGACATTGGGAACTTCTGGCTCTGGGGGCGGCGACTTAGGCGTGGGAGGAATATCCGAAACGTCCGTGTAGATAACCATGAGTTCCCTGTTCTCTCGATCCGCGATCGTCTTCTGCTCATCCGTGTGGAAAGTCTTACTACCACCTCGGGTGACAAATGACTTGTCGCGGTACTCTTGGGCGATGCGGGATACGTCGGCCAGGATAGGCGGGACATATGGCTGATAAGGCAGCTCATCCTCGTCGTCTTCGTCTTCGTTGAAGTTGGCACGCTGCTTGAGCATCATTCCCTCAGAGCGATCATCCGCTGCGTCCTTCGTCATATTGTCTTCATCCTCCGCCGCTTCTTTGTGGAAGACACGAACTTGTACCAACTCCGATTCGGGCTTCCAGGTAACCCGCAGTTTGCGGCGAGCCTCCTTCCTGAGTCGCTTTGCCTTTTCCTCGGGAGTTTCGGGGGTGTCTCTCTTGTTAGCATCTTTCGCTTGCGTTGCCTGGTTCTCTGCCTTGGGGGTGTTGATGGAATCAAGAAGAGACGCAATGCTGGAAAGCGAGGAGCTAGAGGCTGCAGCTGGTTTCGGGGCAGCTGCCTTTGGCTCGGGCTTTGGCGGAGCTGGTGCCGGCTTCTTGTCAATATCCATTGGTGTAGCAGAGGACGAGGCTTCGGGCTTTGGGGCTTCCGGTTTTGTCGGCTCCTTAGTGATTGGCTTGGGAGGTCGGATCTTGCCTGCAAGGAGTGTTGACGCGGGACGAGGCTTCGAAGCAAATTTTGACTGGAGAGACCCAGCCGTCGCTGGCTTGGCACCCGTCTTGTTGGCCAAGGTAGTGTTCGACGATTCCACGGCCATCTTCTTGACAGTTCGGGTGTCGCTGTCATCATCGCGGGCCCTCTTGGCGGGGGAGCCTTCAACAGCCTTCGTTGCCGGCTTGGTGGCTTTGCTGGCTGGAAGGGCCGATGACGTCTTCTTTACCTCGACGCCATTGCTTGTCTCGGTGTCTTTCTTGATCCTCGAGGCAATCGTTCGCACAAGCTCCTTGACCTCATCGTCGCCCTTGTCTGCAAGACGCTTCCGAACATTTTCGAACTTCACGTCCTTCGACACTTTCTCAGACATGCTGATGTTGGACATGAAGCGAAGAAGTGCTTTTGGGAGGGGCCCATTGAAGTCGGCGGCCTTGATGCAGCCAATCAACATGTTGACCAAACTCAAAATACCCTTTTGGTGACCGCCCAAATTTTCCAACACCGCTTCGTCGCCGTGTTTAGCCGCCGCCTCGCAAACCCTGGTAAAAATTTCCTTCTTCAGGTCCGTCTTTCGAGTCCACTCGGCAACGACAGATGCCGGCTGGCCCTCCTTGATGGCCTGATCAACCTCCTGCTTTGCTCGGTTCATCTCTCCTCTAATCTTGATCAAGAATTCTCCCAGTGCCTGGACGGCGCTGGCGATGAGCGCGTTCGTTCTCGTGGCGGTAGGATCAATGTAGACAATGCCCAAGATGTCCCAAACGGCGCCCTCTACTGGGTCTGCAGGGCGAGTTTCAGGACGGATTGGTTTCTTCCGCTCTTCCTCCTCTTCTTTCTTAGCCTTTCTCTGAGCTTTGGTCTTTACAGCCTCATCGGCTTTGAGCTGCTCTTGGAAGGTGAAAGGATAATCGGCGTATTTCGGACGGCGGTTACCCAGCTGCTTCATCTCACGGTTGTACTGGTCGAGCAGCGCTCTAGCCTCAAATTCTCGGTCCTCGGGCTTCGCGGGAATGGTCCCGGACGGCCGATACCGGTCTGCGAACTTGCCCTGGATTTCACATGGAAGTTCTGAAGCCAGCTCTGGGATGATGCGTTTCCCACTACTTGACGGTAGAGCAACAAGAGGCGCGAGTCTATCGTAGCCCTTGGTAGATAACTTTACCGTTCCAGATGATACAAGAAATGGCGCTCCTGGGATTGGGGGGAAATTCTTCTTTGCCGCGGCACTGCGCTTCTTGAACTGGTTCACTGCGGCAAGCTCTTCGTCCGTGCTTGAAGGAAAAACCAGAGTCTCGCCATCGTCACCTTTTCTCGCCAAATCATTGGGAGAGTCCGCTTGCTCCGGCTCCTCCTTCTTAGTCACACGTTTGCGTTTCTTAGCGGGAAGTTGGTCGGGAGGCGTGGCGGAATCAACTGGTGGTGTGCCGGGTGGGATTATAGGTGCCGCAGCAAGAGGCTGGTGCTGTTGCTGTAAGTTGGGCTGTTGATACGCAGGTTGCTGATACTGGAATTGCTGCTGCTGCTGCTGCTGCTGCAGTTGCAATTGCTGAGCCTGAGGATGAGGTTGAATTGGTCGAACCGGGGCCGGGACCGCCTTTGCCTGCTGGACAGGCTGTGGAGGCGGCTGGGATACAGGCTGCGGTGTGTGCTGGTTCGCGCGTGCCTGTTCAACCTTCTGCTTTGGCGCAACAGGCTGGAATGTTGGAGCGACATTGGGCTGGGCGTATTGCGTTTGTTGAGGCACAAGCTTGGGTTGTTGATAAGGAGGTGCTTGATTAGCCTGGAAGGGAGGCGGAGTCGGGTTGGAGAATGGCTGGTTTGGCTGGTGCGCATGTTGAGCTTGGAAGGAGTGTGGTGACTGTGAGTAGACTCTGTCAGGCTGTGCCTGATGCTGCCGGGGTGACTGTCCATAGCCTTGGGGAGCGGGAGAATAAGACTGGGGAATGGAGTCAAATCGCGGCTGTGGTTGTGATTGTTGCTGTTGTATTTGCGCAGAGCTTTGGTGGCCATGCTGAGGCATGAGCTGGGACTCGTTGTATTGAGACACATTGCCGTTGAACAATTGGCTGTTCTGGCCATTGTACTGGATCGCAAAGTCTGGCGTGTGGTCGTGGTTCATGTTATCAATGTTTCCACCGAAGTCAGTCTTTCCTTGCTGGCCATACATGTCTTGAGGGAAATCATGAAGACCAGCCAGAGGATCGTCTTGGCCTGGGTCGGCATATGAAGGGTCCAAGGCAAAGTGGTTGTGGCCATTATGGAAGTTGCCCTGGTTCAAAGCGGACATTCCATTATGGTCACTCGCTACAGAAGCGTGGGCTTGATGAGGCGACGATCCAAAGGGATTGCTCTGAGCACCGTTGCCTTGAGGTGCAAGATGGGAGAAAGCATTTTGGTCATGGATCTGGGTCCAGTCTTGAGCACCACCAAATTGAGTTGATCCATTGGAGAACCCAAAGGAGCCCGGCCAGATATTATTATTATGGCTCTGAGCAGAACCTGCCTGGCCGTTGGTCTGCCAGTTCTGCATTGTGTCGGGCTTGCAAAGCCTGATCTTGTCGACTGGCAGACTGGATATGCACGTGATGGATATGGAAAGAAATGCCAAATCCTCACGAGTTCATTGGGCGGAGATGAAGTACACTGCACAGCTACGGCCAATTAGCATTTGTTCCTTCGGTAGCCGGATCGCTGGCATGCAGGCTGGGGTGGCCGAGCGCCGGATTTTTATCAGACGAAGAGGCAATGAAAAGCCACCTTTGATTGAGTCAAACAGGGATGTAGAAGGAAGGTGGGGTGGGGATAAAAATGTTTGAGCAGAGTTAAGCCGTGTTTGATAAGGCAGTTGGCAAGGAGGTATTCTCCCAGTCAAATTGGCTGGCAAGGCACCTGTTGTGGGAAACAATGGGACCCGACGGCTAATTGCCGGTCGGAGACTTGCAGCTTACCTTGGTGGCAGCGAAAGATGAAAAGGGCGGCTAAGCCGAAAGCAGCGGTCCAGCAGGGATGATGGTGTGGTGCTGCGCCGAACAAGACTGAATTCTGATGGGGTGGGAATGACGAAGGCGATCGTGGTGTCTTTCCGTGTGTCGTGTGGATGAACTGTAACTCCAGTCAGCGATCAGGAACCAGAGTGCAACGGTCTGCAATGTATGGTGATGCGTGATGTGTGAAGAGCTGGATTTGGCTTGAAAGCTGTCGATGAACCACTTGGCTCCGGCCCAAAGATGCAGTGAACGTCCCCAGCTGGCAAAGTTGACCAAGAGGAGGCACTCGCGATTGGATGCCAAGTTCGACTTTTGCACATTAGGGACACCAGCGACGTGATCTTTCCCCCTCCTGCGAGGATTGAAGAACACGAGTGGCCTTGCGTGCTTTGACGAATTGGATGACTGGCTTCGAAGTTTTCAGCCGCTGGGAAAAAACTGAAGAAGCCGTGTTGAATGTTATCATTGGCAATCCAGCGAGGTAGGGCTCCTCGTCTCCCAGTCGACCGATGAGTGGTGAGGTGAGGTGGTCTTCAGTGTTGGGTGGTCCCTTGTTTGCAGTGGGCTTGATCCTGCCGACCGGTCGCTGTGGTGGTGGTGGTGGTGGTGGACGTCAAGGCCAGATTGAGGTGCGCTGAACAAGTCAGAGTCCCCTGGAGGAGACCCGCCCCCTGCATCCAACCCAGCAGGCTGAGCTGAAGACCAAGACCAAGCCCAAGCCTAGGTCCCGGTCCAGGACCAAGGCCGCGCAACAGAAACTGACCGGAGAAGTCGGAGTCCCAGGCCAGTCTGCAGAACATGCTGTGAAAGTGAGTGGGTTGATTGATTGACGCGAAGGCGAAGATTGACGGTCTGCAGCAGCATCGACAGTTTGCCGGGAGAACTGCTTCGCGTGGGTTGCCCGTTTTTGCTTGCCTTGCCTTCGCCCTCTCTCAATGTTCCCCTCTGCACGATCCCAGCCGCCCTCCATCGCGCCGCGAAACAAGGTATCCTGCTTTGCAGAACATTTTAAACAGGAGGGTTACTCGCGTGTCCTTGTCAACATTTCCACGCGCGCCGTGTCTGCGTCTGTCTCCCTTTGATGCGATCCGACTTTGCAAATTCATCGCTGCAAAGAGTTCGGTGCGGGATGAGTTGGAATGCCATGGGTTTATCATGATTTTCACTCATACAAACATTGCCATGTCTGCGTGTCCAGAGGTACGGAGGATGGCGATGACGATTGATGGAAGTGCGCTGATTATGATGGCGATGCTTGGAGAAGGGGTAGTGCGTGTTGGAGGGAATGGTGATCTCGGGGGTAAGTGGTTGTTTGGGGGAGTTGGGGGGAGCGTAAGTTTGGCTTGGGGGGAAGGTTTACCGTACCCTGCAGTTCGTGTGTATGCCTCTCTCTGTCTCTCTCCCTCGCGATTATCCCGCCTTTTTGTTCCCGATCCTGAGAAGAGCTGGCCTCGCGACCTTAACGTGGTTCGCGATATGACTTGATGGCGATTGCGCAGATTACAACATGTTGATGAATGCCCGACAGTAGGGCGAGCGAACTGTCTACCAGAAAGAATGGACAAGATGGAACGATCGCGGAGGATCTGGAAGACGACAATCAATCAGGCAAGCTAGATGCCTATTTTCGCGTTCAAAAGTATCGCGAGACGAGGAATCCGGGTCGGTCAGTGTCGCTGATGTGGTTCTGACGCGTCTTCCTGTCGCCTCTGTCCGTAGAAAGGGGTGGTTTTTTCTGATGGTGAAGGAGGAGAAGCGGGATGAGTTGTCGCCGGGGAGGAAAAGTTGGTTCTTGTTTCGCTGTGGCCTGTCCAAAGGGAGGCAGGTAGGTAGCAAGTCACTTTGCGGCCGTAATTCTGAGGCATGAATTTCATGGCTGGGTCCAAGCTGGGAAGGAGCCACAGGCCACGGGCATGACTTGCCTTGGCTGTGACTGGGCAGGGCCTCTCGTGCCTTCCCGCTTACGGCGCGCAGAAAATGAGCCAGTGGCTCACACAAAGCCCAGGATACCTTAGGGCCGGAGGCAAGTGCGGCAGGCGCATGCCGCTGAGACTTGCCCCAATTCAGGCACATCGCAAACCTGTGGCAGGTCAGGTACCTCTGGATTAAGGACAGTAAATACAAACACGATAGACACTTGTCCATATGGGATGCAATTTGACTCTACTGTGTTATTCATTGGTATCCCGGCTACCTTTGGAATTGCTCCAGAGTCTGCACGATTCGTGACGCAAAGAATGCCACATCGCGGTAGCACGCTCCGCGGAAAGAGCACCTGCCTTCATGTATCCGTCCGTACCTGAGTCCTGACTGCTTTTGCCGCTGGAGTCAAACAGGTCATCTGGGTCGAGCCAGGGCCATTCCAGCCCCTCCAATGCGCTCCCGCGTGTCGCATGCATCCCAGTCCCGTTCCGCTCACCGCCTTTCGGAAGACGGAGGCTCAATAATGCCGAGCCATGACATCGTCCAGTCGAGGTTGCCGTAAGGTACCCACCATAGCACAGAGCACTTCACCTCACTGGCCAGCGGAAGCATCCAGGAAATGTGGCTCGACGGCTTTTGAGGACACCGATGCTGGAGCCGTGTACGTACCTACAGCATCACAAGGCGCAAGCACCTCGTCAACTTCCAGCTCTATCGCAAAACCCGATTACAGTACAATCGATTGAGGCTGTAGCGTAACTCCTGCCATAGCTACTGCTCGTCTTGGCATTGGCTTTATGCGACCTGTCCACTCGCAGCACCAAGAGATACCAGCTCCTCCAAGCTAGCTAGAGCTGTGAAGCTACCCCCACCATCACCATCGCCATGGCAGCGAAAGGCCACTCGCTGCGCGATCGCCAGATCTGTAAGTCGCATGTCCATTCTCTCACGACCTTCTTTGTGATCTGTATGCTAATTCGTATTGTGTCGTAGCGGCGCTCAAGAAGCTCCTCAGCTTGAACGACAACATCAACGAGAATGAAGCTGAAACTACACAGACCAACGGCGGCGCACTTGGTCCCGCCGGTACTATCATAACCTCCGATGGCGATCCCCTTTGGAAGGTCCTCGTATTTGACGACCTCGGCCGGGATGTCATCAGCAGCGTCCTCCGCGTTAGCGATCTTCGCGCGCTGGGTATCACCATGCACATGTATGGCAAGCCGTCGTCGCCGCGCCCCGCCTTGATATGCTAACATAGCTACAGGCACATTGGATCCTCTCGACACGCTATCCCAGACGTACCGGTCATCTATCTTGTCGAACCCACGCCTCAGAATCTACAAAACATCACGAACGACCTCCAGAAGGGTCTCTACACTCCCGCCTACCTGAACTTCCTCTCCTCAATCCCTCGACCACTGCTCGAAGACTTCGCAGAGCAAACCATCACCGCCGGCACGTCCGACAACATTGCCAAACTGATGGACCAATACCTAAACTTCATCGTTGCCGAACCAGACTTATTCAACCTGGGCATGCAACGAGATCACACATACTGGGCGCTCAACAGCGCGGCAACGCAAGACGACGAGCTGGACAGAGTGGTGGACAGGATTGTCAGCGGTCTTTTCAGTGTCATTGTGACAATGGGTGTCATCCCCATCATCCGGTGTCCCAAGGGGGCTGCCGCCGAAATGATCTCCGCGAAGCTCGATCGCAAATTGCGCGACCACATCCTCAACTCCAAAGAAAACCTCTTCTCCTCCAGTGCCCGTCCAGCATCAGCAGGCACTCCGACCTCCCGCCCCGTCCTCATCATTCTCGACAGAAATGTCGACTTAATACCTATGCTTTCTCATTCCTGGACATACCAGTCTCTGGTCCACGATGTTTTGAATATGAAATTGAACAGAATCACAATAGAGACGCCTGTAGACGAGAGCAACCCTGCGAAGGGAACCACCAAAAAGGCTTACGACCTGACATCCAGCGATTTCTTCTGGGCAAAGAACGCCGCCGTTCCATTCCCGCAAGTAGCCGAGGACATCGATGCCGAGTTGACGAGGTACAAAGAAGATGCGGCCGCCGTGACGAAGAAGACTGGAGTGACGGATCTGGAGGACTTGCAGAATGATACCGGCGCCAGCGCGCAGCATCTCAAGGCGGCCATCACTCTCCTGCCAGAGCTTCGCGAACGCAAGGCAGTGCTCGACATGCACATGAATATCCTGGCGGCACTCTTGACCGGCATCAAGAACCGCCAGCTGGACAACTTTTTCCAGATCGAGGAGGATGTCATGAAGCAAACAAAGGCACAAATAATGGACCTTATCAAGGACAGCACCAAGGGAGACCAGCCACTTGATAAGATGAGACTTTTCGTCATATGGTACCTCAGCTCCGAACAAGAAGTTAGTCGAACCGAGTGGGAGGGTTTTGAGAAGGCCCTCACCGAAGCTGGCGCAGACACGACGTCTCTCCCCTACATTCGACAGTAAGCCTCCTGCGCATTACACGAGTTACTATGTACTGACAGCAACCCTAGAGTTCGTGCTACCACGAAGATGACGCAGCTCACCACCATCTCCAACCCTCAACAGAACCAAGCCGCCTCCTCCGACCTGTTTGGTCGTTTTTCCTCCATATCCAACCGCCTCACCGACCGTCTCAAGGAAACCGGTGTGCCGACCGGACTCTCGTCCAACTTCGAGTCCCTCATCGGCGGCATCAAAAACTTCCTTCCCGCCAACCGCGATTTAACCATCACCAAGATCGTCGAATCCATTATGGACCCCTCTACCGCCGCGAGCTCCGCCATCGCCAAGACGGAAAACTACCTTTACTTCGACCCCCGCTCCGCCAACGCCCGCGGCACTATGCCCCCGCCAAGCTCCATTCGTGCGGGTGCCGGTTCAAGTGCTCCAGGCGGTCTGCCAGGACAGAACATGGGCCAGACTCCCGGCAGCGGCGCCAGCTTCGGCCAGCGTCGTCAAGGCTACTCGGAGGCCGTCGTCTTCACCGTTGGCGGAGGCAGTATGGACGAGTACGGTAACCTGCAGGAGTGGGTCGAGAGAACGGGCGGCGACCGCGCCAGGAGGCGGGTTGTGTACGGTAGTACAGAGATGCTCAACGCTGATGAATTCATCAAGCAGGAGCTGGAGAGGTTGGGCAAGGAGGTTGCGTCTTAGCCGTGGGGTGGGCTGTCACGACAATGAGCTAAGCGAGTTTTCTCCATTGTATCTACCTATACTACCTTACTGCTCCCTGGTTTACGAGTTTAAAAGAGTAAATACGATTCCCAATGTCGTTCATGTGCTTGCAGCTTATGATGCGCTCGGCTTGAGGCGTGATTCCAGCGGTCCGTTGGCCGCTGTTTTCTCGCTTCCAGCTTTAAGTACCTGAGTTCTGCCCGTGCTGATGAGCTAGACGTACCTCTTGAGTTGATGGTCCGGGAATATCTCCGGATCAAATGGCTGGGTGTGTAGGACTGCTTGCCACGGTGACGCCAAGCTCAAACGAAGCTACTTAAGCCAAAGCAAGGCTGCCAACAACCAACGGTGACAAAATCCAAATACCGAGTATGCTCTCTGCAAGGCTGAAACACACGAACATCTGCCATTCTAAGAGAAGCTCTCATTTTAGCCACAGGCAATGATTTGCTTCTTGACAACTAAAGTCCGCTACTTTCCATCACCTCCGGCTGAGTATCGATAGAGAATACATCCATGCAGATATGGCAGCTTTGATGGCAATGGCGATAAGTCAATGTCCTCAAAGAATGCGATGCGATGTTCTCAGCATTCAAGGAAATAGAGGCGTATTTGAACAGACCGTATCGTTCCGTACAGTGATGTCACCTTTTATATGTCGGAATCTCACTAAATCTGACAACGATGCGGTGAAACCCTCATCAGAGGCGGTACGGTTTTCACTGTCAGCTCCCTAGCATGTTAGAAACAATCGAAAGCTGTATATAAAGAGCAGATAGGTAAGTTGAAGATGTGCTTAAGAGACAATAGTCTTTCCAGATCCGACCAAGTCCTACGAAAACCCAGAGCCACGAGAAGTGAACGATCGACCAAGTGATCGTCAAGGATAGATGTCTCCAATTAAGATCTTTCGCACCCTCAGATATCTAGTGCTCGTCGTCACTTCCACTCGGAGATTATTATTCTAAAAGCACAGTCGCACGTATCAACCACATGAGGTACCTGGTTCTCAGATGACGATATGGAAGCGTTGTCATACAGCTGAATCGATGTCACTGGTAACATCATCCAATCATAGAGCCTCAGGTATATAAGTTCATCATCAAATCAGCGTCTTCTCATTCTTCAACCGCAAATCCAGTCATCTCTGGCAAGAAGAGTTTGCGAGCAGTCCACTAGGAGGTAGCGACCTTCCAAGCCGTCTGACAGCAGTTAAGTCACAAGCATCTGAGTTCAACAAACTATCATCGTCACAAGACATACACGTGGTTTCCATTTGTCGTCCGGAGGCGCGTATTCATCAGAGACCTTTGTGAGTGAGACAAGCCAGGTCCAGGCGACGCCAAAACCTCAAACGTGCTCCAAAAGGTGGCACTGATGGACATATCCATAGTGCTGATTTCTCTGCTCGCTCTGCCTCAGCCTAGTTGTCTCCATCTGTCATTGGTTGATCTGTGGTATCTCTGATGAATAACACAAGAACGCTTGAATACATGGTGCGAAAGATCATGAGTCTCATTGTGCGGGCTCCTATCAGTTGCATGTATGGCAAACACCTGAAGTGGAGATTGTCTTTGGAATCATATTGAAGACGAACGAGTTCACTCGCCTGTGTCTGCATATGCCCGAAAGAAAGAAGGATGTTTTCTTTTAACTAATCAACAGCCCCTAGCACAAATCGCCACTTCGATATCGTCACGACCGCATGACAGCTTCAAAGCCTTAGTCAGGCAACTCTCTGCAGATATCATTGCAAGGAGTCGACTGAATAGCCGCATAGCAAGAGCATCCAGGACTGTCAGTCTCGAATGTTCCGCGCAGCTGCCCTGTCAAAACCCGAGCAGCCACGCATGAAACAGGTGCTCCGGATGGTGATTCGGTAATGAACAGAAGACGTCTCTTCAATCTAATGATATCTCACAGACTTATCGTGAGGTTCTTCTTGTGCTTAGGCATGCGCCAATGTCAACACCCTATCTTACAACGTTCCCAAAATACGGCTTTGGACGCGTTTCCATCTGTGTTTGTTTTTCATGTATTTGTTCATTCGGCAATGGTTAACCCCCCAATCACGGCGACGGAGAGAATAAGAACCAGTTGAACCCGAATTATTGAGGAGATGTAATTCTTAGAGACGTGGTTTAAATCTTGAAGTTATATCCTTAATTCTTCACCTCAGATTGCCCTGCAAGGTTGGCTCAACGATATAATTTGCTAGAGATGGGACTTTCAGGACTCGATCTACGTAAATAAAGTGCTCAGGGGACGGTGCTTCCTGAAGTGGTGCCGCTTTAACTCGACGTCGGCCATGTTGCCTGTTAATGACACATGCTGGGCAGGACTTGTGTTCTGGTTAAGTTCGATGCTCTATGCATTCTTTGAAAATATAAATCAGTAAACTCGGATATCGAAGAAAGAACTACAATGAGATTCTCTGCCTGACTGGGCATTATTGCACAAGCGCAACATGAAGCGAATTATGCACGGATTTGTCGGATGATTCTCATTCGAGCCGCGGAAACACATGACCGGTCTTTCGTTCTCAGT